AAGTGGTTTATAGGAAGTCTCCTTTTGTTTGGTGCATGGAGCTCAGACATAAATAAGGCTTTAGATCTGACCTTTAACTATGAGGACGAAGGCTACAGCTCAGGGAGTTGGTATGAGCCTGAGGATCTGATGACTCTTAGTGGTCATACAGATTCTGGGCTGCCTTTCACCAGATTTCTTCATGTGTGCCAATGCCTCCCCCTTTATTTTGTTTATGCTGCAGCTATTTTTCTTATTACATAGAACCAGATTTAAATGATAAAGAAGGAAGAAATTCAAACTACCTTGAAGACACTGGCAAAAAATAAGAGCCCAGGAATCTATGTGATACCAGCTGAAATGTTTCAAATAGCAGATGTAACCCTGGATGTGCTCACCAATCTACGCCAGGAAGTTTGGAGGACAGCTGGCTGGCTAGAAGAGATCCATGTTTGCCTATATTCCCAAAAAAGGTGATCAAACAGAATGTGGAAACATTTGAACAATCTATTTAATATTACATCCTAGCAAAATACTGCTGAAGTAAGTGGCTAGAACAAATATATGGATATGAAACTGCCAGATGTTCCAGTTGCATTTAGAAGAGAATTTGGCACTGGGGATATAATTGCTGATGTCAGATAGATCCTAGCTGAAAGCAAAGAATGCCAGAAGAATGTCTACTCATTCTTTATTGACTATGCAAAGGCATTTGACTATGTGGCTTATAACAAGTTATGGCTAACATAGAGAAGAATGGCAATTCCAGAACACTTAAATGTGCTCATGTAAAAACTAAACCTTGACAAAGAGACTGTTGTGCAAACAGAGCACTGGAACACAGCATGGTTTAAGATTAGGAAAAGTGTACAATGGGGTTCTATGCTTTTACTATACATATCTACCTTGCATGCTTAGCAAGTTATCTGGAGAAACTTGACTCTATGAAGAAGAATGTGGTATCAGGATTGGAGGAAGACTCATCAATAACATTGGCTGTACAGATGACACAAACTTGCTTGCTGAAAGTGAAGAGGACACTTGCTGCAGAAGGTTAAACAATGAAATCTTCAACATGAATTGTATCACAATGTCAAGAAAACAAAATCCTCACCACTGGACTGAAAGGTAACATGATGATGGACAGAGAGAGAACTGAGCTGTCAATGACTTCATCTTGCTTCGATCCACAATCAATCCACTTGGCACCAGCAGTCAGGAGCTTGGGGGCAAATTGCACTGGGAAAGTCTGTAGTCTGGGACCTCTCCAAATTATTGAGGAGTAATGATTTGAGCACTAAGGTAAGCGTGTTTCAGGTTATGATCTGAATTCAGTGGTTTGCTATACATCTGAGATCTGGACAAAAGAAAATCTGACAGAAGAAGAATTGATGCCTTTAACTGGTGTTAGAGAAGAGTGCTCAAGATCTCATGGATTGCCAAAAGAACAAACAGATATGTATTGAAGAAGGTGTGGCCAGAATGCTTCTTGGAAGCAAAGGTGATGAAACTTTCTCTTATGCACTTTGGGAATTCTTTATAGAGGGACTATATATGCATCAGAGATTATGAGGATGGCACAGTGTTCAGAACTGTTGTTCAAAGGGTGGCAATGAGTAGTACTTGACGGCACCTAACAATAAAAACAATATAAATTGGTAAGAACAAAGATTCCTTGGGCTTTAAACAAGATGAAAATTATATTTGGATACATTTGATAAGTCTTCATGAAGCAATTGACATTTAAGTTAGGTCATGAGAGATTATTATGGATGGTAAAATCATGAAGAAAGACATCATATTGTAAAATATCAAATTGACAAGAAAAGATAGATTGTTTTTATTCATACTTTTGTTGTACTGATTTTTTCAATTGCCATTTTAAATACATATAAACAAGACAGTTCTTTGCTCTTCAGCTACTCATAAGCTAGTGGTGAAGAGAGACATCCATCTGTAGCAAGTCAATGTGATAAGTTCTATGATCTGAAAATAACAAGATCTTAAGGAGCTATCTTATGGAACGCTCATGGCCTAGTGGAAAGGAGCTGCACTGCCAACCTGAAGGCAAATCTATCAGCTGTTCCAATCTAGAAATATGAACAATCTCCTCTTGGTGATTTACTGCCTCTGAAAACACCAGCTATGAGCTGGTCCTGACTCACTGGTACATAATGACGATGACAACAGCAACAAGAAGGAGCTGGCATGATATGTAGGGAGTTGTGCTGATAAGTGAAAGACTATAGATCTCTGGAAGTTTGAATCAAATGGCACCTCCTAGGAAGAAAAACAGATAATCTCTTCATGTGCAATTTTATGTCCTCAGAAACCCAATAAAGAGTCAGCAGTCAGTTTGAATTTGAAGACCATGAATTTTTAAGAGACTCTGGTGGCATAGTATGTAGCACATTATGTTGCTAGTAAAAAGTCTACAAACCGTCATTAGTTCAAATTCACCAGCGACTGTACAGGGAAAAGATGGGCAGTCTTTTTCTATTAAGATTTATGGCCTCTGATATCCAATGAAGCGTTCCAATGAGTTGAAATTGACTTGATAAGAGTGAGTTGCTTGGTTGTGGCAAGGATTTATCTAACATACAGTGGGCATGTTATCAGGAGGGACCAGTCCTTAGAGAAGTACATCATGCTTGGGAGGTAGAGGGACAGTTCAAGAGAGGAAGAGCCTGGATGAGATGGATTGATTCAGTGACTGTGGTAATGTGGGTGGGTTTATTAGAGACAATGAGATTGCCTCAAAACAGAGCAGGGTATGAGTCACAAGTGGCTAGAAGGCACAGAACAACAATACAAGGTCAAATGAAAGTCGCTAACCCAGCCAAGTGTAATAGGATCACAGAATTATTATTGGGGTTAATACTTCAAATTGAGCTTGACAGAAAAGAACTTATTTTATTCTTTGAGATTCCTACAATATTGCCCATCATCCATCTACTCATTGATGGTAGACTGATAATCCATCATACCTTTTCCATATTTTATAAGTAGTTTTCTGCTACAGCAGCACTAGCAAACCAAGGTGGTTATCACGTAGTTCATTCTGATTCATGGTGACACCATATGCAACAGTCTGAAATATATAGTGCTTATTAGGAATAACAAGACTTCTGGTGGTCGTAGTCAGTCTATAGTGATTTGAGCGGTTAACCCCAAAATTGCACCTCCCTGGCAGTTCTAATCTACCAGTGGCTCCACAGAAGAAAGATGAGCAATATCTTCTCATGTGATTCATACATTTTTAAAAATCCTTTTTGAGGTTCAGCTGAATATGCTTCAATTCAACAGCAACAAGTTGAGTGGTCAAGTTGACTCAACTTTACATATTCTGGTGGTGATTTTTTTTTAGGGAAGAATGTAAGAATTTTTAAAAATTTCTTTTTACTTTATGTTTTAATTTATTCATTATTGCATCTTTCTCCCCTATTTTTCCCCTCCAAATGTCCCCCTTATTCCAAACTGTTCTTGTACATAAAATGTAGAATCATATATTCCTTTCAAACAGTTCTTCCCCTCCTCTGTCCCAATGCAGTGTTCATGATACAGGTTTTGGTTTTGATCTCTGTAATCTGCACAGCTGCACTCCACTGGGTGGTGAAGAGATTGGGATTGTCAACAGTTTCGGATTGCTTGGCTCTACAATGAACATCCTTGGTACCATCAGCCAGGAAATTAAAAGATGAGTTGCATTGGGAAAGTCTGCTGTCAGAGACCTTTCAAAAGCACTGAAGAGCAACAATGTCAGTCTGGAGACTAAGGTGCACCTTATACAGGCCATGGTCTTTGCAATCACTTGCTATGCATCAGAGAGCTGGATAATGATTAGGGATGATAGAAAGTGAATGGATGACTTTAAGCTATGGTGCTGGAAAAGAGTATTGAATATACTATGGACTGCTAGGAGAACAAACAAGTTCACCCTGGAGAGGGTGAAGCCAGGCTGCTCCTTGGAGGCAAGGATTCGGAAGCTTCTTCTGACATACTTTGAACATGTTGCAAGGTGTGACCAGTCCTTGGAGAGGGACATCTTCCTTGGGAAGGTGGAGGGACAGAGCAGGACAGGTGGATTTTGATAAGGTGGATTGAGTCAGTGATTAGGGTAACGGGGTAGGTGTGTCAGAGACAATAAGAATGACACGGGATAGAGCAGGATTTAGGGCTATTGTTCATAGGGTCACTCTAAGTCACAGGCGACTTGATGGCCCATAACAACAACAACAATTTTTACTTTATAAGATATATTTTTCTTCTTTATTTGTCAGCAAGTAAGAAAAGATGTAGGGTTAACATTCTTTCCAAGTCTTGAAGGGATTTTTTCCCCCCCAAACTTTTATATACTGGCTGTCTGTTTTCTTTTTGAGTATGTGTATCTATGCTTTATTGAAGAAAGGAGATCCATATTTTTTTTCAATGTAGAAAATGACAGTTTTTTAGTCCTTACTGCTGATTATTTTGGGTGGTATGTGATATGGGTTTTAAACCATGATATGTAATTTAATGAATTTATTTATTTATTTTAAAATGTCTTATTTTATTTGGGATAAAAAAAGAGGATAAGGAGAAGTGACTGCTGGAGCAGTGGAGAACTGCTACAATAGAGATCAAGCTTGAGTTTTCAGTGGCCATTTTATGACCATGAAGATAATGTTGATCTTTGTGCACTTTAAGGTACTTACATATGTCTTTAAACAAACACCACTTACAGTCCCGGCCACCACTTGCTTGTTAAATTGCTATGACTTGAATGTTGCAATTTTGTTAGGAACTATTCGATTAGATTTTCAATATCAATAGAATTACCTATAGGAGATAACTTTTAGCTGAGCTTCCATACTAAGAAGTACTCAAATTAAGATTTGGTGGTCCACTTTTGAAAATTATTGTTACTGTGTGCCTCACATTAACTCGTCTGTTTCCGGCCATTCATACTTCTTTATTACTATCGATCTTCTGTCCTCTGATTTCGTGAGTTTCAGAGCAGAAAGGGTGACAGCGCTGCCAGGATGAAACTCGTGAAATTTTTTATGAAGTTGACTCATGAAACTGTAACCATTGAATTAAAGAATGGAACACAGGTCCATGTAACGATTACAGGTGTGGATGTCAGCATGAAAACACGTCTTAAAGCTGGGAAAATGACCCTGAAGAATAGAGAGCCTGTCCAACTGGAGACATTGAGTATTCGAGGAAATAACATTCGGTATTTCATTCTGCCAGACAGCTTACCTTTGGATACCTTACTTGTGGATGTTGAACCTAAGGTGAAATCTAAGAAAAGGGAAGCTGTCGTAGGAAAAGGAAGAGGCCGAGGTCGAGGTCGAGGAAGAGGACGCAGCCATGGCAGAGGAAGAGGGGGGCTTAGGCGATAAAGTCTTTCAAAATTTACTGTTTCAAAGGGTTAAGTTGATTTGGGAATTTTTTTTGTACAGCTTTTTGTTTTGTCAGGTTTTAATAAACATAAATGTGGGACAAAAAAAAGAATTAACTCATAGCTGGCCTTCTTGTAGATTTAAAAAAAAATAATAAATCACAAAGGAGAGATTGTACATCAGAACTGAATATGAGTTCAGGCTGGAAAGAACTTAAAATACTCATTGACCACAATAATCTCCAGCATACCACCAAAAGTGTAGATGGAGCTGGGCCAGGCTGTTTCCTTCAGCTGTATACGTGGTTGCCATGATGAAGTCGACTTAGTGGAAACTAACAACAACCACCCTGGGATAGTTTATAATCTCAGTGTGATGATTTTAATTGTAGATAAAGGTACTTTGATACCCCTTTCCTTGGATTTGAGCGGGTTTGTAACTATTTAACAGAGTACAGCTTTACTTATAAAATGACACTGTACTGCTTAGATGGCCTTTAACTTCTGATGTGTCCACTTAGCTCTGATAACCCAGAGGAGTCATTTAAAAAGTCCGAATGCCCTGCGGGCACCATGGTGGAAAAGCGTTTTGTAGGCTCCCCAGTTAACAGCCCCAGGAGAATTTTGCCTTAGCACCCCCACCATGGAACAAGCTTGAAACAAAACAGCCTGGAGTACCCAAATTGGCCCTCTGTGCAGCTACGTTTCTATGAGGTCATCTCTCCTGATGTTAGGTCAAAAAGAAACATTTCCCAACTGAGCCATGCCCAAATGCTTGGCCCACAAAATTGCTATATGTAATTAAATAGCTACTATTTTAGTTCACTATGTTTTGCAATTTTAAGAGGGACCAGTCCAAGTAGAAAGGCACTATGCTTGGTAAAATAGAGGGTCATTGAAGAAGCAGAAGATCTTCAACAAGATGGATTAACACAGTGGCTACAACAATGGGCTCAAGCACAGCAGTGGTTGTGAAGATGTCACAGGACTGGGTAGGTTTGGGTTCTGTTGTGAGTAAGATTGCTATGAGTTGGAACCCAGTGCACCTAGACAAATGTATACAGTAATAGATGGCAAACACTGACATGTCTCTTCTCCCCAAATATGTCATTTGAGTAAACCAGAGAGCTCTGGTGGCCTAGTGGTAAGAAACTGCACTGCAATTTCAGAGGCACACAGTTCAAATCCACCAGCTTCTCTGCAAGAGAACGATCTCCTCCCATGCAATTAACAGCCTCTGAGAATATGCTAGAAGTTCAGCTACAGGTTAGCTTAGACTCATTGGTACTCAACAACAACAAAACAACAAAAGTATAAATCTTATGTATGACCTCCATTTATATTCTTGAGAGTTCAATATGGCTTCTAGGCTTAAAATAAAAGCAAAATAAAAAGAAAAAATAAATCCTATCTGGACATCTTTATCTTCTTTAGAAAGGCAGACCAATTTACCACGTATTCACCACAGGTGTACACAGAATCACTATATGAATAAAAAAAAAGGAAGTACCTTACCAAACAAGAGCTAATGGTATTGAAAGAAGCTCAAGCAGTATTGAAAGCATTGGCAAAATATAAGCCCTAGAAATCAATGGACTACCAACTGACATAATTCAACTGACTGAGGAAGCATTGAATGACATCACTAGTTTATGCTAGGAAATTTGAAAGGTAGTTGCCTGGTAAAATGAATGGAAGAGATCCATATTTGTTCCCCTTCCCAAAAAGAAGATCCAACATAATGTGGAAATTATTGAAAAATATCATTAATATCACATGCAAGAAAAGTATTACTGAAGACCATTTTTAATTGGCTGGAACAATACTTTAAAATGGAAATGCCAAAAGTTCAAAGAGAATTTAGAAGAGGACATGGCAGTAGGGATATAATTGCTAATGTCCTATGGATCCTGATGAAGAGAGATAATACTGGAAGAATGTCTTTTTGTGTATTATTGACTATGCAAAGGCATTTGACTTTGTGGGTCATAATGAATTATGGCTAATATTGAGAAAAATGGCAATCCCAGAACAATTTATGTTTTAAAAACAACTAGGGCCACGTGGTGACAACCGTATTTGACTTTTACCAACTTCACAAGCATCAATGACACGAAACCAATTCCCGAGAGATCAGACATGTCCCCCACACTCCTACACCTCTTTCTACTCCAATATTTCTGCTTTACGGGGTCCAAATATGATGCACTAGCTCACAGGCCACACAGATCCATTTTAGGAAAGTATAAAAGGCTATAATTCAGATTAATAGCAGAATACAATCAGTCAGGATAGCTTCCAAAACATTTAATGCCTGGAATGACTGTAGGCCAAACTTTCAAAGCTCTCAGTTCTGCCAGTTACCGTTCTCCCCTCATCCTTCCCTCCCAGGTCCTCCAATAAACTTGGTAAAGAGGCTCTTCCTCTGGTTAAATGGGGTAGCAATACCAAGGTCTGCTTCATCCCACTTCAGGTCTCTGGTTCTGTGCTGCTATGGCTGCAGATCCTGTGGGCTCTGGTCTGATGGGCTCAAGAATCTCTGGTCTCAAAGGATGCACTGCATTATTTAGCTGCTTCTTTCTGGAGGCCAGATTCTCGTGTTCTGCATCAGAATCTGCTTAACTTGACTATGAGACAAGACATTCTCCTTATGGATAGGGTATGCCCTATTTGCATATTCCCACCTATCCACGTGGCAAAGTCAGATAATGGCTAGGGAAGCCATTTTGGACAACGAACCCTTAACACTACAATACTCATACCAATACCTAAACCACGAAGTAGCAAGGGAATACTGTATGGCTAAAATCAGGGAAGGTGTGTATCAGGGTTGTATCCTTTCTCCATACCTATTTGATCTGTATGTTGAACTAATAATTTGAGAGGTGAGATTCGGTGTTGAAAAGTGTGGGATCAAGATCAGAGGAAGACGCATCAACAACCTTTATTGTTCAGTTGATACAACCTTGTTTGCTGAAAGTGAGGAGAGGAAGCACTTGCTGAAGAAGATGAAAGACAATAGCCTTGAGTATGAATTACATCTCAGCAATAAGAAGACACAAACATTCACTATTAGACTAATAATAAATAAAATGATATGTGGAGGAAAGATTGAACTTGTGAATGATTTAATCTTACTTGGATTTACAACCAACATCCTTTATACCAGTAGTCAAGAGATTAGGTGACATGTTGCATTGGGAGAGTCTGTTGTCAGAGACTTTGCAAATTACAGAAGAGCAATGGTGTGAATTTGAAGACTTGAGTGCACCTTATTCAGAGTATGGTCTTTTCAGTCACTTACTATGCATCTGTAAGATGACAGAAGAGTTGATTTTTTTGAGCTGTAGTGTTTGAGAAGAGTGCTGAACATCCAGTGGACTGCCAACAGAATGAACAGATATATCTTAGGGTGAGTCCAGAATGCTTCTTGGAGGTGAGGATGACAAAACTTCATCTCACTTACATTGGGCATGTTGCTTGCTAGGAGAGGCTATTCCTTGGAGAGGTACAATATCCTTGGAAAGGTAGAGAGGGTCAGTGAAAGAGAGGCAGACCCTCCATGAGATGAACTGACACAGTAATTGCAGCATCAATGGACTCAAGTATATCAGAGACGATGAGGATGGCACAGGGTTCAGATCTGTTATTCATAGGATTGCTATGCATCGTATTCAACTCAATGGCACCTAACAACTACAAGAACAATTTACCATCTGTGAAACATTAGTTTTTGCTTTTGCTTTGTAACTTCATTATATCTAATATCACCCTGCTAAAATGACACAAATCCGTAAGTGATCATTTTGTATTAAGATATTCTTATTAATAAGCAGAGACCCTATATATTCACTGTGTAACTGCAGAAATAAATTCCCTTAAATGAGATTACAGGAAAACATAAATAAATAAAGATAGGAAATGAAAAGGCATGGAACCCTAACCAGTTATTAGTACCCATTTACATTCTTTTTTAAAAAAATATATTATTTCCTGGGACTGTTTCAATCAATTTTGATAGAATTAAGCATCATGAAACAAAGAAAAGGTGATCAAAACGGATACTGGAACAGGGGATAAAGGAAACCTTATTTCAAGGAATTTGATTCTGAAAATCAAGTTAAGTAAAATGGAAAATCTAATTAAGTGGAAGTTACTGTGGCTTTCCCTGGCTACCCTTGTCAATATCAGCACAACAGTTCGACAGTCGCCCAGTGTCTGCTAGGATGAGCATGTGGTTACAACTGCAATTCCGAGTAACTCTGCCATATTTATGTTTATGTAGATTAAATCAGTTTGATAATTTCATAAGATGCATACTGAGCAAAGTGATTGGCACACTAATTGATTTACCATTGCATTTTAAGGCCATGGATTTGAGAAATCAGAATGTGCTGCAACATTTAAGTTTGTCTCTTCACAATGAGAGCGTTTTGTGAAAAGGAGGTTTACTTGAATGCTAATCAAAGGATGTCTGTGAACTTCCTCTGGAAGCAATTTTCTCCTCAGCTTTAATAAAAGCGAGTACAGTGAAACTTTACAGCTGTGGCACATTTTCATTAATATGACTTCCTTGCATTGCCATATTTGACTAAACTGTTTGGGTGATTGTATAATTAGTACATTTTTCTTCCTTAATAATCATGGCTACTTTAATTAAGCAATGAACGGGGGAAATATAAAATACATTATAAAATACATTATAAAACACAGCTTGCAGTTATGATTTTGAAGATTTAGCTCACCTATAAGACTTCTTGAGGTTTGTTGTTTTTTATGTGTGTTAATTAGCAGCTAGTGTTGTATGTTTAGCTGAAAAGTTCTCAAAATAAACATATGTTTTGAATCCTATGCCCATTACGTATTTAAAAGGGCAAATTCCTGAGATATTTTAGTAATTTGATCAAAAAATACTAGAATTTTGGGAGCTTTCAAGGTGATATTAAATGCACTTTAAACATTAAAATTAAAACAGTACTTATTTTCCTTTCCTTGTGAAAA